CTGGTGAAAAGAGATGGGGATAAAATTCTTATGATTCAATAGTGATAAATTGTTATCATGACTAATTGCAACTGCCACAACTGTAAAAGTAGAAGTTTTGTAACAAAAAGGGGGGAGTAGTTAATCTTACAGTCCAGAAACAGAGGACCCTAGGACCATCAAGGGAGAAGAGCATGAGTGGAATGTGGGACCTTATCCAGAGAAGCAGTGGCACCACAGATGAAGACAGAGATGAGGACATAGAGAGAGGGAGCAGCTGAGGACTCTAGATTCATGGGAAGAGAGGGACTGGATGCTGGCAGCCAGGAGGCAGGCTTGCAGAATGTGCCCTGTGAGTGTTTAAATTATTATATGTTCTTGAGTGTTTCTGTGTACATCACCACCCTCCAAAAAAAAAAAAGAAAAAGGGGGAATGGAAGCAAATCCTGTTGAATGATGATGCACAGAGGAGATTGTAATCATTGCAATGAAACGATGGTGTAAAGCCGATGTTCATGTTCTTCCATGTAAACTATCTCAGTTCACAATAAAAAATTTTTAAAAAGGTGATACACTGTAGACTTTGGATTCTATTACATTCTGCTAAAGAATATTTATTTGTTTTGCTCATCTGTTTATTTCAGAGGGCAGTTAATTTGGCTGAACTCTAAAAGCTCAGCTCTGGAATCTAACTTTACATCTTTCAGTCTTATCTTGGACACCTTGGAAATTTCCAGCATACAAGTAGTTCAACAATCAGCTTAAAAATGTGGACAGAGTTTGTACACAGAATATGGGCTTCCCACTCTCTGACTCAATAAATATAAACATAAATTAATGTTCCAATATCAGGCTCTTTGATTACCTTGAATTCTGCCCTCAAGTTCTTCAAGCCAGAAAAAAAAATTTCTGTGTTTTTAGCCATCCCACATGGGGCTGACCAAAGCCAAAGGCAATAATAAACAGGAAATTCTCTTCCTGCCTCCTCACTATCTGCCTATTTTTGTCACACCCTCTAGGAGTCCTGGTGTGACGCCTTAGGATAAGCACTCAACCTCAAGGTCGGTTTGAACTGCAAAGCCGGTGGTTCAAACTCACCAGCTGCCCCAAGAAGTCCTCCCTATACAGGATCACTATGAGTCAGAACCAACTCAATAGCACACAACAACAATAGTGATTTCAGCGAGTTGAGTTTTTAAACAAATATTCTTTTATTATTCAGAGTACATAGTTGTTGCTTGCAGGATGACTTAACATAGTGGTCATGGTGGTGTCCCGCGGAGTCGGTTCCGACTCATAAGGACCCTGTATGGGTTTCTGAGGCTGTAAATCTTTATGGGAGTTGAAAGCCTCATCTTTCTCCCACGGAACTTCTGGTAGTTTTGAACTGCTGACCGTGAGATTAGCACCCAACTAGTAACCACTATGCTACCAGAGCGCCTTGACTGATACAATGCTGTTGTTAAGTGGCGTCGAGTCAGTTCCAACCCATAGTGACCCTGTATAGGGTTTCCCAGGAGCAGCTGGTGACCTTGAACCACCGACCTTGAGTTCAAACCGATCTTGCAGTCCAGCGCATTAACCTTGCAGCAACACACCAGGACTCCAAAACCTATGGCACCTGGTATTCCCAGGCAATCTCCCATCTAAGTACTAATCACACCTGACCCTGTTTGGCTTCCGAGCCGTGACAAGCTTGGGTGCGTTCATGGTGCCATGCCTATAGACTGATAGGATAAGAGGTACTTAATCATCACCAGAAATAGAAACTCCCCAGTGCACTTCAAGAGTAGAACCCCCTCCACCCTCTTTTAAAACTTCTCTGTCCTTGGAACTGTCTTCTTTCATTCCCATCCTCTACCACACTCCTTTCCCCTACTCCTACCTAGCTCAGATCATACTCAACGGAGCTTCATGTGCCTTCTGGCCATTAGACATGATATTTGCTCTGCCAGGAACTCTGCCTTCCAACTCTAAGAAGATTTTTAAAGGCAACTACAAAGTCCTGCCATTCTCTGGGCATGAACTGCCCAAACAGCCAGCTCATCAGATACTTGATTGTCATCTGTTCTTCAGCCTTCTTCACTCCATTTCAGCCAGTGGTGGTAGTTATGTGCCGTGAAGTCAGTTCCGACTCATAGCAACCCTGCACAGGGTTTCCGAGGCTGTAAATCTTTACAGGAGCAGAAAGCCTCATCTTTCTCCCACAGAACAGCTGGTAGTTTTGAACAGCTGACCTTGAGGTTCGCATCCCGATTCGTAATCACTACCCTACCAGAGCTCCTTATTCAGCCAGTACTCTCACCTAATCCTTGGTGAGCCCCACCTGATTCTTGGCATCATTCAAGGGCCCTACCTCTCAAATCTGAAACACAAACATCTCACTCTCTGACCACAACTCCTTGTTCCCAAGGCTCACTCATCACCTGACTGGCAATGATGTAGTTGATGACACTGGTTGGCCAAGTGTGTAAGGTTCCAGTGAATACAGAAAAGAGAAGTCAGTCTCCCTTCTATCAAAACTTTTATTACAATTTAGAAATCTTTGGTTTTAGGCTCACATGGAAGTTTTCCAAGAACCACGGGATATTAGGAGTACTGTTCTGATAAGGTTCATAAGGAAAAATAGGTGGGCTCCGTAGTGGTTGTTGTTGTTGTTGTTAAGTACCGTTGAGTCTGTTTCAACTCACAGCAACCCTGTATAGAGTTTCCAAAGAGCAGCTGGTGGGCTTGAACTGCCGACCTTGTGGTTCACAGTCCGGTGCTGATCCACAGTGCCACACCAGAAGTCCAGAGGCGTGGTTAAGAGCATAGACTTTAGAGCCACACAAACAAGTCCAGGTTCTACCTGTGAATCCCAAATCAAGCCACTTCCAACTGTTTGGATCTTAACACATTTGCAAAATAGGAATGATAAAACCAACCTCCTAATTTGCTGTGAAGACAATATGACCATGCTCATAAAAAGCTTTGTAAAGTAAGGAAATAAGCTTACTGAATTATATTATTATTAGCAGTTGTTGTTGTTGTTGTCAGGTGCCATCGAGTCGGAACCGACTCATAGCGACCCCATGTACAGCAGAACGAAACAATGCTCGATCCTGGGCCAACCTCACCACCGCTGCCACCCCCGAGTCCATCAATGATGCCACCTGGCCGATCCATCTCGTTGGAGGTCTTCCTCTTTTTCTCTGACCCTCCACCCTACCCAGCATGACATCCTTCTCCAACGATTGTTTCCTCCGGACTACATGTCCAAAGTAGGAGAGACGAAGCTTAGCCATCCTGGCCTCCAAGGAGTACTCTGGCTGCACTTCTTCCAAAACAGATCTATTGGTTCTTTTGGCAGTCCATGGCACCCTCAGTATTCTCCTCCAACACCACAACTCAAAGGCATCAATTCTTCTACGATCCTCTTTATTCACTGTCCAGCTTTCACATCCATATGAGGCTATTGAAAACACAATGGCCTGGGTCAGGCGCACCCTAGTCCTCAAGCTGACATCTCTGCTCTTCAATACTTTAAAAAGTTCCTGTGCAGCAGATTTGCCCAGTGCAATACGTCGTCTGATCTCTTGACTGCTACTTCCGCGAGTGTTGATAGTTGATCCAAGAAGAATGAAGTCCTTGACAACTTCAATCCTTTCTCCATTGATAAGAATGTTGTTTATTGGTCCAGTGGTGAGGATTTTTGTTTTCTTGACATTGAGATGCAATCCATATCGAAGGCTGTGCTCTTTAATCTTCATAAGTAAATGTTTCAAGTCCTCTTCACTTTCAGCGATCAAGGTTGTATCATCTGCATATCGCAGGTTGTTAATGAGTCTTCCTCCAATCCTGATGCCACGTTTTTCTTCATAGAACCCAGCTTCTCGTATTATTTGCTCAGCATACATGTTGAATAAGTATGGTGAAAGAATACAACCCTGTCTCACACCTTTCCCAATTTTAAAACATTCAGTGTTCCCATGTTCTGTTCGAACAACTGCTTCTTGGTCTAGGTACAGATTTCTTAGAAGTACAATTAAGTGTTCTGGAATACTCATACTTCTCAATGTTGTCCATAGCTTGTCATGATCCACACAATCGAAAGCCTTTGCGTAGTCAATAAAGCACAGGTAAACATCCTTCTGATATTCTCTGCTTTCAGCCAAGATCCATCGGACATCAGCAATGATATCTCTCATTCCACGGCCTCTTCTGAATCCAGCATTATTAGCAGTACTATTATTTAAATTTAAAGCAAGGAGGCTCACTTAAGATTCTCTTTTGAGTTGCTGGGCCTGGGGGCTCAGGACCATAGTCCCTGTGTTCAGTTGGCATAACGTGGTCCACAAAGACAATGTTCTACATCCTACTTTGGTGAGTAGCATCTGGGATGTTAAAAGCTCATGAGCATCCATCTAAGGTGTTGCCATGTGTGGAAGAAAGAATGATGATGAACACTGAAGATGCTTACAGTCAACTAGTCCAATGGACCAATGGAGTATGTGAACATCAGTTACCTTGACTCTAAGACCAGAAGCATTAGATAGTGCTCAGTTTGAAGCTGTTGAAATTAAGTTTCCATTCCCTGAGGGAGCTCAGATGTTTGGCAAAGGTCAAATCAGAGACTTCTTGAAAATAGAGCACTGAAGAATCACAAGTGAGCTCACTCTGCACATGTATTTGGATTAAGAGACTAAGTATTAAGAGATAGGATGTTGACGTGGTAAACCCCAAACCATCTGGAAGGTGTATTCTAATAGTTCAGTTTTATCAGCATGCTGAGGGATCTTGGGAATTCAGAGCTCAATTCCAATTTCAAAAAACATGCCTTAGAGAGCCCTGCCCTTGTCAGACCTAGCCAAGAGCGCAGCCTCACTTCGGCCAGGCCCCAAGCAGCTGGGCTGCTCACGTTGCTGTGGTCACTGATGTACCCCCAATTTGGAGAAGGAGCCACGTGCTCCTTTGTGAGCATGGAAAGATGCCCATTCGAGGAGACTGACCCTAAGGACTCATATATCATTTCATGAAACATCATGGCAGACTCTGACTATAGAGAAGATGACAATCCTGAACTCATTTGACCTCTGAAATTAATCAATCTTGTCAAAACGTCCAGGAACCATCAAGATCTTCACAAAGAGCTTATGAATCAGAAAAGGGGTCTTGCCCCTCAGAATAAACCAGAATTTCAGAAATTCCTGGTGTGGTGTTGTAGGATAAGCACTGGACCGTAAGATTAGTTTGAACTGTGAGGTTGGAAGTTCAAACTTGGAAACCCTACACAGGGTTACTGTGGTTTGAAACCGACTCAACAGCATTTAACAACAACAAGCAGAAAGTGATGGAAAAGAAGAAAGGAAACCAAGTAATAAAGCACAAGTACAAGAGGCACAAAAGAATCTGACCTGGAAACTGAACTATGAAGACAGTAGCCGACGTTGCAGCAGCTTGAACTGCAGAAGTAGAAATTGCAAGAGCAAGAAAACACCCCCGAGTTTGTGAAGGTAAAAAGCAACAGGACTGGACAAGAAGTTTTGCAAGCCCGTAAGTGTTAGGCTGAGATCTCCCGTGTCCCAGCGCACCCCCTGGCACAGAAGCTATGTGTGAAGATGCCTCCTCAGTGCTTAATCTCAAGGCAGAACCCCTGGAAAAGTACGACCAGCAGAAATTTTTCCCTTAAAAAAGATTTGGTTTGGGTCTCCCTCCCCTTCCAGTCTGGGTGGATAAACTGCCTGTGATAGTTACAGTTCCTATTCGCCAAATGAAGGCCATTGATCAGCACATAAGTTGGGAAAATGAGCCTGTGTTCAGCTACTTACAGGAAAAGGAAAAGCACGCTGGGATACATTTTTGAGAGTTGCACTACTTGGTTTCTCTTCCAATCCAAGTTTAGTGAGGCACAGAACCTTGTTTCCTTTTAAAAGTTGGAAAAATTGTGTTTAATTCTTCTTTGTCATCTGTTAGATAATTTACATGGCATAGAAATATTTTTAATCTGTTACATTCAATATTTGTAAATTCTGTTTTGAGGACCTGAACTGTTTCTTGTTTAATTGATCCTTTCCACCTGTGCTAGAATGGAGTCCTGGTGTGGCACTTCAGGATAATGCGCTGGACTGCAAGGTCAGTTTGAACTGCAAGGTTGGTGGTTCAAACCCACCAGCCACTCCTCAGAAACCCTAGATTGGGTCGCTGTGAGTCGGAACCCACCCCTCCGCACTCAACAACAACAACAACAATAACCCATGTTAGAATTTACACCAGAAAATATTAATGTTCATGTTGAGCACAGCTATTACCTTTGTTGGCACTTAAATTCAAAAATAGGGTGATAAGGTTTAAAAACCTGTAAATAAAAATATGTAAACATCCATCTTGATCTTTCTCTAATTCTTTCTAGAGTCTCTGCAGGCTACATGTGATATTTAAATTCAGAGAAGGCACATCATGTGACTTCACCACCTGTAGGATTTGCTTTTGCTTTGTTTTGTTTTCCAAATTTTGCTAATCTAGCCCTTTGTGATGGAAGAACTCTCCCAACCCACTGAAGAATGGAGATTAGTCAATATAACCCAACTTCCCTGTCAAAAGTTGGTGTTGTT